CACACACACACACACACACACACACACACACACACACACACTCTCTCTCTCTCTTCCCTGTATGTAACCAAAGCACCAGATGTTCATTTATAACTAAGAACAGTGACTGGTTACAGCAGTAAGTACTTGTAGTTACTATTTAGTTAATAGTTACTAGTCATTTAGATATTTATGTCACTGACCTGAACTTATTTTAGTTCTTCAGATTTAGTTCCTCATATTTTACAGAGTTTGCTTCCTCAGGTTCTACGTATTGCAAAGTTTCCTCATGCAAGATGTTTATTTTCTGAACTTTATGTTTTCAGGACCTCCAGTAGAAAATGTATACTCCAGCATCATAGATGTAAGTTTTAGGAAGTATGAGACATGACTTTCATTATTGCTAAGTTTGTATCAGTCAGGTGGTTTCTTCTCCTCCTTCAGGACAACCAGCTGTATGAAGAGATCAGAGAGGAGACATTTCCACCTCCTGTGGAAATGTCTACAGTTTACACCACTGCCACACGCCCCCAGCCAGATGGAGTTGAAAGCTCAGATGACTAAAGCATCGCCACTTAGAACTTAAAACGGTGTAAGTGGCGTGATCTTTCAGTTCAGTTCTTAATAGTGAATCAGGTAAAAATAGGAATAGTCATTTTTCAGTTCTCAGACACAAAGATGAAAGTTGTGAAATAATTTTTCCCAATAAACTGTTGACGGTTAAAGATATGAACGTTTCTTCTTTAACTGTAAACAGGGTGCACCAAGGTGGCACCGGCCACCACCTCAAAATTTGCAGGCCTTCCTGCCAAAACTGTCCTGTGATGGTAATAAGTTAAATAAACGTGAGCACAGGAGAGACAAAAACACCCTACAATGAGTTGAAACATTAAATCGTTATTTAAAGCAAATTATTATAGATTTCAAAATCTTATTTGATTTTCATATTTACCCATTTTCAGTGATATCGACTTTAATAGCAGGAAATTAAGTTGACAGCGATCGTTGCTCAAGAGTTGGCAGTTCGTCTTGTAATTGGAAGGTTGCCGGTTCGAGCCCCGGCTCAGACAGTCTCGGTCATTGTGTCCTTGGGCAAGACACTTCACCTACCGCCTGCTGGTGATGGCCAGAGGGGCCGATGGCGTGATATGGCAGCCTCGCCTCTGTCAGTCTGCCTCAGGGCAGCTGTGGCTACAACTGTAGCTGCCTCCACCAGTGTATGAATGTGAGAGTGAATGAATAGTGGTATTGTAAAGCGCTTTGAGGGGTCCCGAAAAGCGCTATATAAATGCAATCCATTATTATTATATAATTCTTTTCTTTCACTCATTTTTGCCATATTTTTCAAGTAACCTGTATTTGACAACAGCATAATACAACTGGAAATTCTTTATTTGGTGGCCCCCATGTGGCTGCCCCTATGAAAGAATTGTGGAGCTGCCTGTTGAGGAGAAAAGTGTATTGGAGAGGGAAAAGTCTTTTAAATTTGTATTTTACAATAAATTTGGATTCAAATTTATATTAAAAAAAACTATTTTTAATTTATGGGATTAAGGATTTCAAAGATTGTTCAGATTTTATGACAATAATATGTTGGACGGTTCAGGACTAAGCATATATGTTGATACTAATATATATATAAAAAGAATCAAGCTATTCAAACCTTTCTATATAAACACAGTAGAGTGATACCAACTTAACTTTCCCTTTTCTGTTAGTTGCAATGCTTTTCTGATGGATCTCTGTCACCCAGGTAATTATGATACTCAGATTTGCTGGTAATGTACACACACTCTGGATCCAGTTTATTAGGTACAGCTAATCATAACTATTTTTTTTTCATAAATGCTATCTTTTGATCAGAGCAGTAATTGGACTGTTTTTGCAATTGTTGAGGAGCCAGTGGAATGAAATGAATCCAGTTGTGTAATGACTAATCCATGTCATCATCTTTTGCTTTACCTTATCATTACCGATCTGCGTTTCATGTATTCTGCCATTTCTTCTTAAATATGTATTCTTTTCTTAGGTGCTCTCTAAGCGAAGTGCTCTGCCGTGTTCACAAATGAAGATATGACGTACCACAGCATCAATCCAGGGACCGGAACGAAACCTACGCTACACTCACAGAGATATCAAATCTAAATTACATATTGTCTGTGTGTGCCAGCTCATGCATGCTTTAAAACAACTCTAATGACATGATGAATGAGATGGATAGGAAAGATATACTAAGGAATAAAGCTAAAAGGAAACATATGAGTTAAAATGGTTAAGTTGTTGTGATAACTACTCACGAATGAACCAGCTAATGTAAAATATAGTAATATAATTATTATTTGAGACTATGATGTTCAAAAAATTGAATAAAATCAAAGGAAAGGAAATGAACTTATAAACTTGTATTATAAACTTATAATTTATCTATGGACATATAGGAAGGACCAAATAAAAAATATGGAACTAAATCAAGTCAACAACAAAGGAAATAAAATTTGTTTTATTCTAAAAGTAACTAAAAACACATTTGTCTGCATCTTAGTGCTCTATGTAACATTCACACTCCACTGACTGCATCAGGAGCAACTTAAGGCTCAGTACCTTGCCCAAAGATACTTCAGCATGTAGTCAGCAGGACTGAAGAAGCTAGGAATTGAACCACCAAACTCCCAATTATTAGATATTTGATTATTGCTCTACATCCTGAGCTGCAGGCACCCAGATGCTTCCCGGCAGAAGAAACTTAGTAAGAAACAAATGTCATCATGATTTATTTGTGTGCATGGCACCACAAGAGGGTGCTCACTAACTTTTCTTTGATATGCCAGGTGATTTCAAATGCAATGTTTCCAGTAGGTTAACAAACACAACACACAATTTCTTTCTGTGTGGTTTGGACCATAGACCATCTTTGTGCTAGCTAAAGGTCCAAAAAAAGTAATAACTTTACTCTTAAAGGCAAAATATATCAGAAAAAAGACACACAGGTGGGAAGATGAGAGATCGTCAAAGGTAACAAAAGCTCAGCAAGTGACATTTGATGCTCTGGAAATTTAATGTATTGTTCTGAATTAATTTAGATTCTTTTCAACTTGACCACACATGCTTTATATTAAGGTTTCTTTCAAACTGAGAAATGTCTTTGAAAACAAATTAAAAGATAATAATGTCATGATGTTCAGAGTTTATTGTGCAATATGTGCTAGTTGGGCTGGTTTGCAGAGGCGGGCTATGTTGTACTGGTGAATGACAGACTGCGATACCCACAATCACTGCCATGTTAGGTCCTGATAGCAGAAAGAGACATTATAAAAGGAAGACATGGCACTGAAAGAATTCTGAATTGGAATTTGTGGTAGATTTTTGTAACCAAATAAATGGTTGTAGATACAATACAATTTATACAGCACGTTTAAAACCAGGGGGTACACCAAAGTGCTTCACAGTAAGGAATGACGGTAAATGATTACACTGGACAGTAAGTCATTAAAACAATTTCAGTGAAAGCCTCAGTCATGCAGTGGGGCAAAAAAGTATTTAGTCAGCCACCGATTGTGCAAGTTCCCCCACCTAAAATGATGACAGAGGTCAGTAATTTGCACCAGAGGTACACTTCA